GGGAAAAAAGAGGAACTGTGATGAAGCACAACTTTTACAACTTCACATGGAAAAGGCAAGCTATATTCTGAGATTTCAGGGAATTCCTGAGATTAAAGGGGAGAATATCAAACAGACTTTGGCTGATGCTTTGGGGCCAGTAGTAGATTTAAAAGCGGATTTCCTTATAAGTGAGATGGATGTGATCTATAGGTCACATTAAAAATTTATAAAGAAAAAAATCTGCCCAGGGAAGTGGTGGTGAGATTCTCCAGAAGACAAGTGAGGGATCAGATCCTATAGGCAACAAATGGAACTACCCTTAAAATCGACAGTAAAGAGATAAAAGTCCTAAAAGACATTCCCTTTGAAATATGGGGGGAAAGGAACAAATACAGAGACTAGGCGGTGTATCTTCAAAAGAATAGCATCTCTTACAAATGGATTCTACCTGAAGGACTACTCTTCAAATTTAAAGAAAAGAAAGAAAAAAAATTGACTGTATTATGAAAGCACAAGAGTTTTTGCAACAACAAAAGGAACCCGCAGGAGAAGAAGATGAACAAAAGGAAAGTGGTGAAGAATCACCTGCTTAAGAGGGCTCGGGCTCGGAATTAGGGGCGGCTGCCCCCAAAGAAGTATATACATTGAGGGAAAGAAGATATAAAAAATGAGTTGCTGATTATCTCTGAAGTCTGTTTAATTTTTTTTTAATTAACTTGTCTTTTGTATTGAGCCTTGCCAAGTCAAATTATCTGGGCTTGACATATATAAGCAACAAATATTAATTCACTGGCAATGTAATTTAACCATATATACTAGAAGCTACTATATTGTAACAAGTACAGTACCTTCACCTCTTGGGGTTTTAGTAGTTTTGCTATACTTTCTCCCATAGTTTGTAGCTTTCCCATCCCCTTTTCTTATTTGTAGTTTTGGAAAAAATAAAAAAATATATTAAAAAAGGGTTGGAAGGGGCACGGAGTCCTTAAAGCCATTGGGGAGGACTGCTTAGAAGAACTGCTAAGGTGATGCTACTAGCCCAGTCTCCCCAATGATTTTAAACACAATCCCCCCCTTACACCAGACAGGCAGGTGTTTGTCAGGTGTAGGAGCAGGGCCAGGGTACTTCAATCCATCAGGGAGGCCATCACAGCAGGATCACCTTAGCGATACCAGTAACCACTCTCCCATCCACTATGGAAATATACCCCAGATTTGTATAAAATTGGTTACCTGTATTAGGTTTTCACAGTGTGAGTTCTAAAAAAATTGGTTCATATGAACTTGCTTAATATCTGATTGCTGGGATGTTGTTTTGAATACGTAGTTATGTCCCCAGGCCTGTAACCAGGATTTTTTTGTTCGGGAGGCATTTGAATTTTTAAGGGGGCAGTTAAATTACAGTTAATTAAATTAATCTGAATGCCTGTCTTTAAAGGGGGAGGTTCCAAGCCTGTTTCTTTTCAAGGGACAGCGCAGCCAGCGCATTCGTTCCTAGGAAAACACAATTCAGAGGGCATTTAAATGCCTTTTGAGTTCCCTTCCTTCTTTTCAAGGGACAGCACAGCCAGCGCATTAGTTCCTAGGAAAACACAGTTCAAAGGGCATTTAAATGCCTTTTGAGTTCTCTTCCACAAGGCAGGAAAGCTTAGAAGGGCACTGAAGAAGGCACTTCAATACATCTCCAAAAATTCCACTTTCTGCTAGGCCTGTCCTGCTGTATACCACCTAGGTCATGGTGAGTCTTTCAAAAGCATTCCCATGAGTCAACATCCTCAAAAATAAGGTTTCTGGCATGGCTATTTTTGTGGTGGGACTTTTAATTAAAGGGGCAGGGCCCCCTAATGCCCCACTGTAACTACGAACCTGTATAATGTCCCAGTTCTTAAATGTAACATAAATGAGAAGCACTTTTGAAAAGAAAAGTTATACCCTGCACACACACCCTTCAATGCCCAGGCCAAACCCCTGCACCAAGAAACCCAAAATAAGGGGAGTGCATTCCTAACATGACATCAGCCCCAACTACGAAGAGATTTCTGAGAAACACAATCCCTAAGGGGGTAAAAAAAGAGGCAAAATGTGTTCCTCCAATTGTTTTCCATGTGCCTGGCAGGCTGCTGCCTCCCCCCCCCCCCCCAATTGCTCAACTGTTGCCCCGGTCACACACAGCATTTGCCACGCTGAAGGCACGGTACTGCAGTGGATTTTCCGGGTGCAATCTCACTGGAACATCTGGGAGGCATAGCACTCCCCTGGCCAACCCAAAGCAAGCCACCGAAGCTGCATAGTTAAAAGCTACCAGGATCGACCTACCAGCAAATGGTTTGCCACGGGCTGCATCTGGACTCCTGTGGTGTGATCACACCAGTGTCCTCTTTGCTGCGTGTGCTGATGGTGGAAACCCCGGTGTGCCACCGTCAAGTCTGATCACCTAATCGTGCATCAGATTGCGACAGCACAAAGAGCCACTCCTCCCCCTCGCATTTTCTGACCCGTGTGACTGGGGCCTGTGTAGCTCAGCGTTCTGAGGTAAAACCTGCCTGCTTGCACTACAGTTTTCTCCATTAGAATTCCTACAACAAATGTTACATTTCAAACTTCACATCATCAGTATTCTAACTGGATTTAAGAAACTTAAATACCATAGTGAAGCACGGGTATTAGACTAGTTTCATAGATATGCCCAATAGTAATATTTTATGTGCTAACTAAATGACAAACGATACATTTTATGCAGTTAAATCAGTAAAATAAATTTGGGTTTGATGGGAAAGTAAGTTTTGCATATGTTTCACTTCCCCCACATCTCCATTGCAATAGGAAAAAACCTCCCCCCATGGCTTCAAAACTTCTAGAAAATTTATATCTCTTGACACAACAAGCTGTTCCTTTAGCCGCATTGTAAACAGTATATTTGATAACCTGTTAGGCTCAAACCACATATTATATGCATCTGCATGGAACTGGAACCCAGCGTTTCCCTCCTCCTTTTCCTTCCTCTTATTCAGGAAGGAACAAGAACTGATTCAGGTTGATGATGATGATAATTTGGAGTAAAAAAGCAGTAGGAGAAGGGCATTTCAACCTTCCTGCTGCTTCTTTGCTCCAGTTGTCCCTACTCTCACCTGACTTTCCTACAACAGGAGCCTAAATGTCTCCTTGCTATTGCAAAAAAAACCCACAAAAAAACAAAACAAGTTTGGACTGTAACTTCTGGCAGGTAAGGATCACCCCCTGCCATTTCTTCACACCAAGAAATCCCTTCCTAAATAGGGCTGTTGGGATTCAGTTGCATACATTTTGTTGCATACATTTTTGTGCAATAAGGACCACCAGAAACATTCTCACCCAATATCATTACAATGGTTGTAGCAGAGTCGATATAGTAGAAGGTTGGATCTGGCCAGCTTTTCAGCTGGTACAAAAAGAAGGGGTCCTCCTTAATCTCAAAAAAAGGGATCTTAGATCCCATAGAAAAAAGGCATGTGGGATGGGGCAGGCCTGAGTGAAAAGCTGGCTGGATTTATCGAAGAGTTTACAGCAATACATGATGTGTATTGAAATTTTCAGTATTTATTTTGCTCTCTGAATATGATCGAAGATCCCTCTTTTTCAGAGACATAGGAAAACTCAATTATCTTAACTTGAACATTGGTTCATGTTACATTTGCCTAGGCTGGCTTACTTGAAATAAATCTCATATGTAAAAGCACAGGTATACTTATTTTGAGTGTCAAAGCAAACAGCCTTTCAAATAGGAAGAATTAAGTGAGATGTCAGAAATATTTACAGTAGTTAGCTTAACTTTCTCACATTGAAGAATTCAATTTGCTACAACAAAGAAAGTATTTTAATTGGTATTATTTCAGAACACTGGAGTTTTACAAGACTTATACATTATTTGTCTGGAGGAGACTTTGTAGGCTTAGTTACCAGGGAAGTGTCAATTCCTTATTAGAGTTAGAAATGACAAATTAATGGTTTTTTAGTTGTAAATTTTCCGGGCTGTATGGCTGTGGTCTTGGTATTGTGGTACCTGATGTTTCACCAGCAGCTGTGGTATCTTATGTAGAGCATAAGATACCACATACCCTGCAATTGTGGACAGGTTTACATTGGGACCACACAGAGTAGCATCCAGACAAGAATAAAAGAACATGAAAGACACTGCAGACTGTGCCAAACTGAAAAATCAACAGTGGCTGAACATAGCCTAACTCAAACAGGATACAGTATCTTATTTCAAGACACTGAAAATCTGGACAACACATCCAATTACCATGTCAGATTATACAGGGAAGCCACTGAAATCCATAAACATAAACACAATTTCAACAGGAAAGAAGAGACTTTAAAAATGAATACGGCATGGTTTCCTGTCCTGAAAAACACAAAATGCTCTACATCTTACAACAGCACTACAAATAAGATTAGAATTTTAACAGCCAATACATATGCAAAAGAACCTCCTCAGGAATGCTCCTCCATTAGTATGTCACAGCCTGGGAAACTCCTACAAGATAATGACTCAGCCGTAACCCCACCTTCCTGAGTAGATACTGCCTACCATCTTTCTTCTCACATTGACACAGAGAGTACTCCATCTTTCTGCATTATACCTCTGAGGATGCCAGTCACAGCTGCTGGCGAAAAGTCAGGTACTACAATGCCAAGACGACAGCCATACAGCCCAGAAAATCTACAACTAATGAACTCCGGCCATGAAAGCCTTCAACAACATAAATTAATGGTTTGTTTGGAAAGTCAGCTAACCTAAAACACCTGAAAGGAACTGGCGTTCAAGGGTCTACTTTGTCAGGCCAGTGAGATGGCATATACCTTCCCCAATGGGAATTCCAAAGTATGAATGTTGTAAGTCAACAAATATTTAAACCTTTTCTTGACTATTTTATATCCACATTTAACTCATCATTGGTAAATTTTAACATTTTATTGTAACAAACAATAATTATGATTTATTTTTTTTTAAAAAAGAGAGAGATTAACATCCTTACTTTCCAAGGGCAAAGCATTCTAGTTGAGCAGTTGAACCCTTTGCTGCATATGTTGTTTCTGGAAAACGAACTTCAATCTTTGGTTCATACTCCCCCATCACACCTGTTGAACATCAAAACAGAACAACACTCCAGTTGTGCCTCAGACCTGTCTACTACAACAGATTTTCAGTGTAAAAGATAAAGTTGTGGCCTTACTTGTTCCCATGGAAACTAATAAGTGTCTTCCAGTGAGAGCAAGAGTGGGCCTCTGTGGAGAACTTCATCACTGTGCAGATGCCCAATATGAAGTCTACAAATTAAATCACATGAGTGAATTCCCCTTGATCTCTTGACCCAGCATTTAGCAGTACTCTCAGGCAGCATACTGTATTCTTTCTAACTTCTAAAACTGATTGATTTTTGGACAGCATGAAACTTAGTCACAAAGTCAGATGCATTGAAAATCCAAAGCAGAACTCCATACTTCTCTTTGGCTTTATGTCTCTTGCAATGAAAAGAACACAAGCAATTTTCTGAATTGAGAAACTGGGCTAATCTGTCATTAATCTCAGCAGTTTTTTATTCCAGCATTACACTGGCTATTATAAGATTATTATAATTCTTTACTCCAACACAATTACAGTAGATTGCATTGTTTGTTCTTTTTATGTCCTTTAAAAAAATGTTTGTAACTATTTTAGATTTAACAGTATATGCCAAACTTGTATAAATTGTGACCTATCAAGGTAAACCAAGCAATGTATTCTGATGTTCCAGCAACTGAGTTCATGTGGATTTTCCCCCCAGCAGTCACTGATAACTAGGGTATGTGATACACTAACATTGATCAAACACCACTGACTTATTTATTATTTTTTTAGAAATAGAAGAAGAGATTGGATTTATACCCCACCCTTCACTACCCATAGGAGTCTCAGAGTGGTTTACAATCTTCTTTCCCTTCCCCTCCCCACAACAGACACCCTGTGAGGTAGGTGGGGCTGAGAGAGCTCTTTCAAGAACTGCTCCTGAGAGAACAGCTCTGAAAGAACTTGTAACTGACCCAAGGTCACACCAGCTGCAGCATGTGGAGGAGTGGGGAATCAAACCCAGTTCTCCCAGATCAGAGTCCATGCTCCTAACCACTACACCAAACTGTTGTAGTGCTTTTCTCCTTGATTAGGTACTCAAAGGGGCTTTTCACCCTTCCTCTGCTTAATTCCCACAACAACAATCTTGTAAGGGAAGTTTAGGCTGAGAGATTGTGATGGGCCCAAGGTCACCTGGCAGGCTTCCATGGCTGAGCAAGGGATTTAAACCCAATTGTCTCTGGTCCTTGTCCCTGTTCCTTGTCCTACACTTTATCCACCACACCAATCCTCAGAGCTGACATTGCTTTACAAAAAATAGCCAGGAAGGGGGGGGGACAGCTATTCCACTCATAAATCAAACTTTCCCTGAGGGTTGCGATTCTGTGAGAAAGTGACTAGAAATCTTTAAATTTTCAGCACTGCTTGAAATGAGAATCTCTACCATTCTTACAGTTTAACTGCCAGAGACCTCGTAAGTGGTTTAGGCTGCAATCACAAGGATACGTTTCTGAGAGTATGCCCCACTCAGTAATATAGGGCTTACTTCTGAACAGATCTGTTTGCAGTTGCTCCCCTAACATAGATATTCCCAAGCAAACTCCTTTTGCTCATTCACACAGTTCCTCCATGAGATTTTACCCACAATAGCCATATCCAAAGTACAGAAATGATCAATTAATAGTTTCCCTGGTTCAAATTACAGATTGAAGAAAACAAGCAACATTAAAAGTTATAGAAGCATTTTGCCCAGAGAATAGCAACTGGACCTTGACACTCTCAGGAAGACTGCACTATGTAAAAAGAAGAGTGTCCAGAATTTTTTCTCGAATCTTAGAATAAAATGGACAATTAATGCAAGGTTGTCAAAGAACAATTAATTTAGCTTAATTAAGACTGTTAAAACTTACCATCAGTACGAAGCACAAGTGGTGTGGGTGGGCCGTGAATACTTTGTTTAGCTTCTGTGTTAGTTATAACACATGTGTAATTGCCCACATCAGAGGGTTCCACTTTGGCAATGTACAGATTCCCTGTCTCTTGAGAGACAAATCGCCGATTGTCCTCCTGAACATATAAGGGATTATCATTGAAAATCCAAGCATAGGACAAATCTGGAAAACATCAAACACTTATTACACATATCTTCCTAACAAAACTCTGCTATGAGTTTTAGCACTATTGGAAAAGGGTTTTTTTAAAAAAAAAAATTAATGGACCACTTCCATGATTAACAAAATGGTGTAAAGGTTTTTTTTTTTTTTTAATGGTGAATCTTGAACTGGATTATCACTAGAATATGTACAACTTTCTCTCTCCTCCCCACCCCATTCATTGTCATCCTCCTGTGTCAAGTGCTTTCTTATCTTTCATTTCAAATGGGAATACAAATGTTGAAATGTTACAACACTTGTACAAAAAAGAAAATGCTAATTTTCATTTTCATCTCTCCAGTGCAATGACAGTGAGTACAAATGTTTCAATGATACCACTATGTCAAATCATGGGAAATTGAATGCTTTAAAATTCAGTAAGGGATTTGGGGTGGGAGGAATAAACCCATTTCACAGTGACATGTCCAAAATTAATTTAATGTAGATTAAAGAAATGACTTAGACAATTATAAATTAACCGCTATAGATAAACCTTTCATTGTATCTGGTTCAAGCGTATTATTTTTTTAGTACAGATGATTCACACACTTGTGAGAGAATAATAAAATATTGTGCAACCAAGAAATTAGGGATCAGTGATGTATCGACATGTGAGACACAAGCTCAGCAGTGCATAAAAAAGGAGCTTTATTTTGTTGTGCTCTTATAGCTTTCTTTCCAAGCTGCTGGATGTAATGCCTTGGATTAAAGTTGCAATTGATCAGATTGAGGCTAGATAACAGAAAATATCTTCACTATTAAAAGTTGGGCATTTGGGCACAGTAATAATATGTGAGGGGTTTTTTTTGTATTTTGTAATTAGATCTGAAAAAATGCACTATTGCAAGCTTGTTGGATTGCATTACCTCCTAAGAATCTTCTAACCCTGTTGTCTAAATTTAGTGTTATTGCATTCTTTTCTCAAAAGTGATTTCAAGGAATTTGATGCAGTTCAGCCTTCCCTTCCCTCCCTCTTTCATTCTTTCTTTCGATTTATTTTTCAAATTTATAGTCCGTCCTCCTCACAAATGGGCTCAGGGTGGATCACAGCAATAGTTAGGCCATTCGGCAACACAGACATACTAATAAGCATTAAAACAGCATTTAAAAACAATCTGCTCTGATACTGGACTCTGAACTCTGAGTTTACTCAACCTCCGCTGCATGGAGGTGGCATCTTCAGCAGGGGAGACTGAGCTGGTTTTTTTAGACTGTTTCATTGCAGTGACTCTGTGGAGGTAACTATAAGATTGAGGCTCGTGCGCTATCGGCAAAGTTGATTGAGTGCATGGGCTGTTTTGCTGCCGGGAGGAAATTGACAGACAGATGCGCTGAGACGCAGCAGGTCTCGACACTGAGGAGGCAGGGCAAGCCTTTATAGGCTCGGCCCCATTCCCCTCCTTCTCAGTTGCACCTCGTGCTCGAAGAGACCGTTTGCTCCGAGCACGACGCAGGTTAGTCCTTTGTGCTGGCTTCAGGCTTACCTTGGGGCTTGTGGGCAACAAAAAAGGGCTGAGGCAGCGGCGCTCTTTGGGGCAGCTCCGGCAGTTGGGATGGTACCGTTAGTCGGGGAGAGCCTTTTTCCGAGGCGTTCGAGCGTGGCATGGAGTTCTTTGCTCAGCCGAATGGCCGGATTAGGATGGCGGTGTAGGCGGAGTCAGCGAGTCAGGCGACGGCATCAGGTGGCGCATCGGGCGGGCTGGCGCCTGCTTAGTGGGGCCACAGTTGGAGCATGGCCACTGGGGCGGCCCCTTGGCAGCCTGCTCCACCTTGTTGAAGCAAGACACACACATAGTCTGTCCCTGCCCTTACTATTCTTCCATGCTCATTTAGTGCAGTTGGTAAGGCTGCTGGGGCCCAGTTCCATTTCCTTGCACTGTTCCTATCCCCCCCACACACACCACTTTCCTTATACAGATGGGTAAGGATCAATGGGTATTTAGGGCTTTAGGCGGCAGCCATTTTGGGGGTTCTTCTTGACCAAGTTAACAGCGGCCATCTTGGAAGGTTAAGCAGTAATACTTGTTTAATCTGGCTCGCAGTTGGGACTTTCGAGGCGCCCTCTAGCGGCTGTTGCTGGGTAACTTGAGGAATACAAGTGGTTCTTCGGGGTTGCCCCTGGTGGCTGTTGCTGGGCAACTAGAGTAGGCTGTTAAATTTTGTATCCAGCCAGTGCTTACTCGGGCGCACTCTAGTGGTGAATCACCATATAGCCCTCTCTCTGAAGCATTGGTTTTGATACTTTAGCATAGACAGGATGGCATCTGGAAAAGGAAAGGGCCGGGCCAAGGGCAAGCAACCGGCTCCTAAGAGGCCTACCCTCGAGCCGGCGAGGCCAGAATTATCTGATGGCGAGGACGATCCCATTAATGCTGCTATCTTGGCACGCTTGGATGCCTTGGAGAAGCAAAGGGGGAAGCTCGCCCTGCCCCCTATTACAACTGAGGGTGCTAAGAAATCAAAACCCAAGGCTCCTTCTGCATTTCCGGCAAAGATCCTGGCATGTTTGGCCATGATGGAGGATGGCCAGGGGACATCAGGTCAGCAAGCGGAAGAGGCTGATGATGGTGGAAGGCAGCTGGAGGTCTATAAGGGCCCCCCTTCCAAGGATGGTAAGGAAATTGAAGAGGACAAGGGTAAAGAAGCCAAGAAGTGGCCCTGGTGGCACTAGGCCTTCATCTTCTCAATCTTCTTGCTGCAGAGGTCACTCAGGAGGGTGCGGATCACATTCATCACTGTCTACAGCCACACGTGACAAGATCCTTAAAGGGGATTTTGTCAACGTCTTCATCCTCCTTTTTAGGGAACTTGATAAGAAAGATAAGAAGGATTTAGACGAGCACGAAAAAGAACACTTGAAGAAACGGAGGGCCGGCAGGATGTGGGCCAACTGGTATCCGGGGTTCCTTATTTACACAGCGGTCATCGTACACCATGGAGGGCCTCCCCCATGCTGAAGTATATGGACATTATTTATAAGGCATATACTCACTTTATGGGAATGGCATGGCTGGAGTATGATGAAGGCTTCAGAATGTGGGCCGCCATGAATCCAACCTGGAGGTGGGATCGGATTCATCCCCACCTGTGGCTCGAAGCTATGGCAGCAGCATGGCCTGCAGCCGGGAACTGTTCAGATAGTGGGCATGTGGTGCACAGGCTACTGGGTCCGAGTTCGGCTCGAGCTCCCAGCTGGCAGGCACCCCAGTGGCGCCCACTTTGTTGGGAGTTCACTTCACAGGGCACGTGCAGTAGGAAGGTGTGTTCATTTTGGCATGAGTGCCCACTGTTTGCAGGCCCCCATCCACTCTCTAGTTTCCCCAGGCCAAGATCTAAGTCAGGCCGCAGAGGTGGGAAGTGTAATTTCGGTGGCGGAGGCCAACAAGGGGCTGGGAACAAAGGGTCCTAGTCCCGTTAAGATTCATATGTTGGCCCGCCTGTTACGGGATTATCCCAATCAACAGGTGGGTAAGTATTTGTTAGAAGGATTTATGTTTGGTTTTAGAATACCCTACCAGGGTGACAGGAGGCCATTCCGGGCTCCTAACCTAAAATCCATTAGGGGAATGGAAGAGGTGGTGAGGCAAAAAATTGCCAAGGAATGCAAGGAGGGCAGGGAGTTGAGCCCCTTTGTGGCTGCACCATGTCCCAATTTGAGGGTGTCACCTTTAGGGGGGGTCCCCAGCAAAGCCCCAGGTGAGTTTAGACTCATCCACCACCTGTCCTACCCTCGGAGAGGATCAGTCAATGATGCGATATCTGATGAGCTGTGCTTGGTCAGGTACACATCGTTCGACCAGGCTATGCAAGTTGTGCGCAGCTGTGAGATGGATGCAGACCTCACCAAGTGGGATATAAAATCCGCATTCCGTCTTCTCCCTGTTCACCCTGGGGACTTTGAATTGTTAGGTTTTGCATTTGAGAATAGGTTTTACATGGATCGGGCTCTTCCTATGGGGTGCTCCGTTTCATGTGCAGTTTTTGAGAAGTTTAGTACGTTTTTAGAGTGGGGCCTGCGTTTTGGGATGGGGCTGACTAGTACCGTGTACTACTTAGATGATTTTCTGTTTGTGGGAGGGGCACTGTCAATTCTTGTTGGACTCCTTTACATCTTTGGCCGGGGAGCTTGGAGTTCTGTTGGCCCATGAAAAGACGGAGGGGCCCACCAAGATACTAACGTACTTAGGGATTGAGTTGGATACCAGAGATCAGTTGTCCCGCTTGCCCTGGGATAAAATCCAGGAGTTGAAAAAGTTAATTGGACAAGCTACTAAGCTCAGTAAAATATCTTTGCTGGAGCTCCAGATGCAGATCATTCCCTGGTAAGGATGCCCGTGAGTTTTTGGGGGATTGGAGGGCTGAGTCCGACAGGGCAATTGGACTAGCTTTAGCTCCATCAACTAGGAAATCCTACAGGAGGGCCAGTAGTGACTTCACTGACTTTAGGCAGTCAATGGGCCTACCTCCGGTTTGGCCCATTCCAGTGCCTCAATTAATTCAATTTTGTGTGTATTCCAAGAAGAGAGGTTTGGCTGTAAGGACCATCAAGTGTCAGCTGTCTTCCTTGGCATATGCCAGTAAAGCATCAGGTTTTGCTGACTATACAGGAGATTTCAGAGTTAGGAAGATGTTGGAGGGTTGGTCCCGAGAGGGCAGTCCTGCAGTGGATACCAGGGAACCATTGTCCCCAGCAATACTTAAAGGCCTTCATGCCTTATGGCCAAACATCTGTGCTGACATGTATGAGACTGCTCTTTTTCATGCAGCTTCATTGTTAGCCTTTTTTGGGGCACTGAGCATTAGCAAATTAGTGGCTGCATCACGCCAGGATACTTCTAGGAGGGCCTTGCTTTAAGTGACATTACCGTGTCGGTAGACAAGGTTGGGGTGTTGTTTCGACATTCCAAGACCGACCAGTGGGGGAAAGGCTCGCACTTGGAGCTGGGTCAGTGCTCTGATCA